TGAACTGCCCTCCTTTATCTCAGCAGAGGGTCTTGACAAAGAAAGGCGCCTCGGAGCATCTGGAGGAGAAGTGTGAACAGTAAATATTAAGATTGTGTTTCTCACTGCATTAGCTCAAAGGGTATCTACATTATTGAACGCTGAATGAACTGTAGCTGCATTTTGGACTTCGAACACAGTTTGACAAAATGAGAACCTTGTTTTATTTATTTTTAATTATCTTATTGTTTTTTCACCTCCTTAAATTACCTTGTGGGCTCTCATCATGATTTAATCACGTTGCAGGAGTCTGCTGTTTTTACTAAGTCTGCTAAATCAAGTTTGTCTCATCTTTCTGCTGAAACCTAAAATAACAGGAACAACAATATAAAACTAAACTCATTTATGATATTTTTCTTCTATGATGATTCTTGGTGCCTGAAGGATTTTCTGTTATTGTTTTACTTTTTTTCTTTCTAAATGAGGTTTCTACTCAAATCTATTGTATCTGTATGTTGCTTCACCTAAGATGGCTTATTTACTGGCTGTAGTTCAGCTTTCTGTAAACTCACACACTGCAGGAGAGGGGAACTTCTCATGTCCTTCAAAAGCACAAGAGATCATGTCTGCAAGTTGAATCCAGCCTTTGTAAGAAGATCTTGTCTGGTCTCGTATTTTCTCGTTGTTCTTGAACCAGACGTAGGAAACACCAGCTGGACTGCAGCTGCTGTGACACTTCAGCTCTGCTAAGGTATAGGGCTGCCCGTACGTCTCTGTGATCACCTGCACCTGCAGAGCTGGATATGAGAAAAAGAATAATATAAAATGTCTCAAATTAAACTGATGATAAATGTACATTCCCATTAACACGACAGTCTAAAGTAGGTGAACACTATGATAACTCATCCAACAGTAATTACACAAACTCAACTTCCAGTATTTTTTTATTGTACTGTGTATTTTCCTGAGTGTGTTGGTCAGTACCTGTGACAGTCAGAGTTGTTCCAGGTAAATCACTCCTCCATTCAAAGCTTGGTGTTTTGAATGTGAAGCGATACTGAGCTGAATCTGAGTCTCTCAGGTCAGAGATCCTCAGAGTGGAGCGTCCTCTCTCTGTCTCAAGGATCTGAACACGACCTGCATACTGGGAGTCTTCACTGAGGTCCTCGGGTTGAGAGGGATTCTGTCTCTGATGACTACGCTCAGGACTGAACCAGAACTTTGATGTAATACAGTCATTACTGCTGTACGTGCAGGAAATGTCCACTGATGATCCTCTGGGGGCGCAGATACTTCCCTCAGTATAAGTCACCGTGTTGCTGTTTTGACCAGTGACACCTGAAACATTTAAACTCATTTTTAAACCATTGTTTTTACCAGAGTTGATGAGAAGTCACAAACCCATACAGTTAGCTAAGGCTTCCACTAGATGGTGCTATGTTAGAATAAGGTAGTGAAGTGAACTCACACACTGAAGGGGAGGGAGAGTCCTCAAATCCTTTCAAGGCACAGGAATAGCTGTCCAGATAGTTAAAGTCGACTTGAAGAGAAGAAGTTCCTGACAGAGTGCTTCGTCCGTTCTTGTACCAGACATAATCATCATCAGGTAAATCACAACTGCTCTGACACTTCAGGTTTGCTCTGCTAGAATCTTTGCGTTCCACCTGCACCGAGAGATCTGTATTTGTGAAGAAGGAACAGGAAGGTTATTTAAGACAACTCTCAACATTCATGTATATAAAAACACATCACAATTATATTATTTTTCTTAATGTTGAACATTTGGAACTGATTAGTGTTACCTGTGAGAGACAAAGTGACTCCAGGTGAACCACTATATGTTCCTCCTGCTTGGTTTGTTTCGATCCTGAACCTGTACTCAGCTGAGTCGCTCTCCTCAGGTTTCTGATTCTCAGAGTGCAGATGTTGTTTTCACAGAGATCTCTCTACACGACCTGCGTACTCTGAGACTGTGGTCAGATCTACAGGTTCACCATCTTTCTGTTTAAACCAGAATGTTTTCTTAACTGTGTTACACTTCCTTCCCATGTTGATGGGTATGTGTAGCTGCAGCTTATCTCCACTGTTGATCCTTTCACTGCACAGATCTCAGTAGAAGAGTAAGTCACATCCCAGCCATCCGACCCTGAACCACTGAAACACAGAGCACACCAGAAACTAGAATCAAAGTGAATCTATAAATTGTTGAGAAATTGCCTGAACAGTACTTTCAACAAAGAATGAGAAAATAAACATTTTACAGACTTTACTGGATAGAGCAGAAAAACACATGTGAATTCCTTCTAAGGCATTTTAAAACCAATGATACTCTTTGACTTTGTTGTTTCTTAATCAAACCAGGTAGAACAGAAGTCTACGGAAAAAGGGTTCAGTTTGACACAAGATTGGAAAATGCCTTCATAGAAATGAACAGTGAATGATTAGCGATCACATTAATTAGAATAGTGTGAGACTCTCTGAACAGTTCCCTCTCTGTTCGCTCTGTGGTCAGGTTGCTGCTGAGTTAAGTGTGACAATACAAATACATGCAGAGCACTGAGGTGAGAGCAGCTTCTGTCTGATATACAGATAAGAAAAAGAAGAAGACTGCTTTAAACTCAGAGCGTGGAAATATAACACTGAGGTCAGAGAGGAGAGAAGGAACTAGAAGGGTTTGGTGCAGAGGTATGGCAACATGAGAGAAGTTGAGAAAGAACTAGAGAATGCAATTCCTGAAGAAATTGCTAGTGGGAATGCTTTATGCTGAAAAGCTGACGCTAAACTGCTATGCTGAAATGTAATGTGTAAGAAGGAAGTGAATCATTTAGATTGAAATGAAATGTGTAAGAAGGAAGTGAATCATTTAGATTGAAATGAAATGTGTAAGAAGGAAGTGAAGAATTTAGATTGAAATGATACATGAACACTGGGGGCTTGAATGTGTGATGAGAGAAGAAAAGAAAGTCAAAAGGCTTGGGAAAGCAGCAGAATATTTGAACTGCAAACTTCTGAACTAACTTGATGGCGAATGATCTGTCGCCATGGCAACGGCATTTGATGACACCCCAGGGGTTGGTTTGTTGCCTCAGGGCAAAAAACCAACCCTGTGCTACGAGGGTATTGAAACACCAAGGATTTCTATCATTCAGAAGAAATAGAAAAAACAACTCTATATTAATTCAAAAGGTTTTCTTTGTGTGTGTGTGTGTGTGTGTGTGTGTGTGTGTGTGTGTGTCTGTCTGTCTGTGTGAATGTGTGTGTGTGAGTGTCTGTGTGTGTGCGTGTATGTGTGTGTGTGTCTGTGTGTGTGAGTGTCTGTGTGTGTGCATGTATGTGTGTGTGTGTGTGAGTGTCTGTGTGTGTGCGTGTCTGTGTGTGTGTTTGTATGTGTGTGAGTGTGCGTGTGTGTATGTCTGTGTGTGGGTGTGTGTGTGTTTGTATGTGTGTGAATGTCTGTGTGAGTGTGCGTGTGTGTGTGTGTTAGTGTGTGAGTGTCTGTGTGAGTGTGCGTGTGTGTGTGTGTGTGTGTCTGTGTGTGTGTTTGTATGTGTGTGAGTGTCTGTGTGAGTGTGCGTGTGTGTGTCTGTGTGTGTGTGTATGTCTGTGTGTGGGTGTGTGTGTTTGTATGTGCGTGAGTGTCTGTGTGTCTGTGTGAGTGTGCGTGTGTGTGTATGTCTGTGTGTGGTAATGTGTGTGTGTGTGAGTGTCTGTGTGTGTGCGTGTATGTGTGTGTGTGTCTGTGTGTGTGTGAGTGTATGTGTGTGTGCATGTATGTGTGTGTGTGAGTGTCTGTGTGTGTGCGTGTCTGTGTGTGTGTGTATGTGTGTGAGTGTGCGTGTGTGTATGTCTGTGTGTGGGTGTGTGTGTGTTTGTATGTGTGTGAATGTCTGTGTGAGTGTGCGTGTGTGTGTATGTCTGTGTGTGGTTATGTGTGTGAGTGTCTGTGTGAGTGTGCGTGTATGTGTGTGTGTGTCTGTGTGTGTGTTTGTATGTGTGTGAGTGTCTGTGTGAGTGTCTGTGTGTGTGTATGTCTGTGTGTGGTTATGTGTGTGAGTGTCTGTGTGTCTGTGTGAGTGTGCGTGTGTGTGTATGTCTGTGTGTGGTTATGTGTGTGAGTGTGTGTGTCTGTGCATGTATGTGTGTGTATTTATATGTGTGTGTGGGTATGTATTTATTTGTGTGTGTGTCTGTGTGTGCGTGTATGTGTGTCTGTGTGTGTGTTTGTATGTGTGTGAGTGTCTGTGCGTGTGTGTATGTCTGTGTGTGGTTATGTGTGTGAGTGTGTGTGTGTCTGTGCGTGTATGTGTGTGTATTTATTTGTGTATGTGTGTGTGGGTATGTATTTATTTTGTATGTGTGTGTGTCTGTGTGTTGTGGGTGTGTGTTTATGTGTGTGAGTATGTGTGTGTGTCTGTCTGGATGTGGGTGTGTATTTATTTGTGTATGTGTGTGTGTCTCTGTGTGTGAGTGTGTGTGTCTGTGTATATGTGTCTGTGCGTGTGTGTGTATGTATGTGTGTGTGCGTGTATGTGTGTGTGTGGTGTGTGTGTGTGTGCGTGAGTGTCTGTGTGAGTGTGTGTGTGTGTCTGTGCGTGTGGGTGTGTGTGTGTGTGTATGTCTGTGTGTGTGTGTATGTGTGTGTGTGTGTGTGTGTGTGTGTGTGTATGTCTGTGTGTGTATGTATGTGTGTGTGCGTGTATGTGTGTGTGTGTGTGTGTGTGTGTGTGTGTGTGTGTGCGTGAGTGTCTGTGTGAGTGTGTGTGTGTGTGTGTGTGTGTCTGTGCGTGTGTGTGTGTGTGTGTGTGTGTCTGTGTGTGTGTGTCTGTGTGTGTGTGTGTGTGTGTGTGTGTGTGTGTGTCTGGTGTGTTCATTGAAATAAGAAAGTGTGCATTTGATCCTCCTTGTACCAGGTGTAGTTAGCTTGCTGGGGTTAGCATCCACTCTACAGGTCAGGAAGTCACTGAACTGCCCTCCTCCTCCTCTCAGCAGAGGGACTTCACTGACACAGGAGGGGAGCTTTGGAGCATCTGGAGATTCAGAGAGACCCGGGTCATTCACATCACAAATGCTCTAAATGTTAATGTGACTTTCTCAGATGTTGCATTTTGATAAATTGATCTATTTGGATTAATCAATACATTGTTTGGTAATTATTTTCATTCATGTCCTTTAAAAAAAGGACATGAATGAAAAAAGTGTATGCTCAGTTTTACAGTCAGGGCAAAGCAAGATTGGAAAATGCCTTCATAGAAATGAACAGTGAATGATTAGCGATCACATTAATTAGAATAGAGACTCTCTGAACAGTTCCCTCTCTGTTCGCTCTGTGGTCAGGTTGCTGCTGAGGTCAGTGTGAACAATAACAATGAATGCAGAACACTGAGGCGTGAGCAGCTTCTGTCTGATATACAGATTAGAAAAAGAAGAAGACTGCTTTAAACTCAGAGCGTGGAAATATAACACTGAGGTCAGAGAGGAGAGAAGGAACTAGAAGGGTTTGGTGCAGAGGTATGATCCATAAGAGTTCAGTCAATATGTTTTGACTTAGAATAAGAATATCTCTCTAAATCACTTCAACTTAATAAAAACAGAGCTGGAGATTCTTGAAGTCGTCTTAAGAAAAAAAGCAAAATGTTTTCAGAGAGAGAGGATGGAACAGTTATGCATACACTATATTGTAACGCTTGTAAAAGTGATAAGTGATATTTGATGCAGATGATTGGAGCAAAGGACAGCGGCAACGCACGACAAGATCTTCAGAATATCCATCAAAAAAACTAGGAACGTCTTTGAGTTTCTACAATTCTACACACAATTACATTTAAAATGTTTCTGCTAGGTTTGACTTTTACACAAATCCATCCCACTTATTCCCACATGTGACCTGGTTTAACAAGTCCCACATTTCCCAGAATCCCCTCTGTTCATGTGATGAATGTAAGTGTAGAAGTACAGTACCTGACACAGAGAGCAGGAAGACAACTAATCCACTCGCTGCTGCAGTTAGACTCATAGCTGCTCCTCTCATCTCTGTGAGACTATAAAACATGTCAGATTAAATAATGTTCACAGGAGGTTTACAGAATCATTCCATCAATAAACTCTTTCTACTCACAGTGAAGGAGGAACGACGTGTTCAAAGATGCCTTTCTTCTGTCGTCAATGAGCAGAAGACGGATATCAGGCTGTTAAAAGATTTCCTTCCTCTTTAGACGATTAATATGCACGATGAGCCAAACCCCAGTAACACCCACTACACAGTAAAGTTTGGTTGTTTAACAAACAATACACTTTTCTTAACTAAATAAACTCTGGGTAAAGACCCGTTTAGCTGCCTATACTGACTCCTGAAAAAAGCATTAGAAAGGATTTAAAATGATAAGGGTGAAACAGTTGATCTCTATGAGCACTGAGGACGTCACACAGTCTGCAGGTGGAGTGAAGGAACAGGAATGCATTAACCTCTGAACCCACGAGGCAGTTTGACTGAACAGGATGAAGAGAACCAAATTAATTATAAGAGAGAATGGAAAATGCCATTTAATTTCTCTTGGTTTGTTTCTGCTCTGCTCTCTCTGCGGTCAGGTTGCTTCTGTTTCAGAGAAATGCAGAACTCTGAGAAACTCACATGCCTGTTAGTGTGAACCCAACATGAACACACACATATCACACTCATAATCAAGTGGACTGTAGGATTTGGACACACAGTGTTTAATGATACGAAAAACACATGTTCAATGACTTTGGATGTTTAGGTGGATCAGTTGTGAACATATGTCCAATGTTTACATTTATTAAAACACTTTAACATTTGAAAAAACAACCTCACAGCATCCAGCAAACTTTATTATGAATGATTTGCATGTTTAGGAGGTAAGAGAGGACATCAGTACTTTAGTAGTTTGGGTGACCCTTTAAAGCAGACAGTGGAGGGAGCTCTCTGAGTGATGAAGCCTGAATGTGTCTCACTTAAGATCCCCCAGTAGAGGACAGTGAAACATCAGAAACTGAATCAGGATCCGGAAACAAAGTACAGTTTAATATTTAACACTGATTGTTTTGGCACATTTAAATGTACTTGTTCGTCGTTATCTCAATGTAGCAGGATAAACTGTTCAGCCCTATCAACACGGGGCAACCTTTCTAAAGAGGGGTCAGTGTCGCTCTTGCTCCCTCTTGCTCTTTGGCAGAAAGGCCACTTCCGGGCTCCGTTTACGTGCTTTCTCCGCTGGCACCGGTGAGTTTGCGGTGGCTGCCATTAGTTGTATGCTTAGCTTGACAAGTAGCATACATACTAAATGTGTATTGCTGGTTGTAGACCCTTGCAGGGATCCTGCAGCCCATGTCTGCCGCTGCTGAACGAAGCTCTCCTGCTGAGTGTCTTAACGTAGCTTGATTGGTAGGTACGCTTTTTGCTTGTCTCATCCTTCCTGAATAATATGAATGTAGTATTATTATCGTAACATCACCTGCGCTGGAAGCCTAATACAGAAAGACGGCTGTTTTGCCTCAACGTCTGTGCTTCACCGCTACACTGCTGCCTGGCGGGTGTTGCTCTTGGCCTGCATCGTCTGTATTGCCTCTTTGTGTCACTGGGCATTACACTACATGACCACATTTTAAACTTTGTTATAGTGGACGGTTCGATTAATTTCTGTTTATGATTAGTTCTTTCATTGACCCTGTTGAGTTAAACTTGTTTTGTTTATTTAATTCAATATTAAGTAGATTGTTGGGTTAATTTCCGTTTCTTTCTGTTGTCTCTTTGTATTTTCTCCAAATTAATTTAATTGCATCTTGTTATTTTATTAATATATGCCTGCGTATTATTTCTCTATGCTTGTATGGAGTGTTTCATAAAGTTTCAAAGTATTTAGAAAAGCTAAATATAATGTGGATAAAAAAAGATGTGGATTTACATTACCTGGCATAGAGAGAATGACGACAACAAATCCACTCGCTATTAAACTCATAGCTGCTCCTCTCGTCTCCGTGTGGCTTCAGTGACAATAAAATAAATAAGAAGATTGATGTACACAAGTAAAACCTTCTACATTAAAATAAAGGGAGTTATCACGAACCTTAACGTCCCTCTGTGGGCTTGAAGGTAGAAATGAGACAGAAAGCAGGGGGTTTAAAACACCACTTCCTTCCTCTTCACATTATTGTTGTTCTGCAGAGAGAGACCAGTTTGTGGTAAACAGAGCACCTCTCCTCACTGACAAGAGAAGACACATCCTAATGTCTTCCTTTATTATAAAACAGCCAAAATTCAAGATCTAAAACCATGTTCTGTGAATAAAATGCAAATTACACAAACTACTAATGCAAATTAACATCACTTGATATTATTATGAGACTGCCTGGACAGTTTCATAATGAGTACAGAAAGTCACATCACAACATTTTTTCATGACGTATAGCTTGGGTTTTACATTTTATAATATTAATTCAATCCAAACTCAAACCAAACTACAACAAGCAGCACGAGCTGAAGGTTAGCTATCAGTATTTCTGTCTGTGAAGAGAAGGACTGTGGCTGTGCTGTGATCACACACACACACACACACTTCCCTCACTCACACACTGCTCTCACTCACTCACTCACTCACACACTTCTCTCACACACTTCTCTCTCTCAGTGTTACAGTCTCCCTTTACTGTGTTCTTTATACCTTCTGATGTATCCTTACAAACTCTGCACTTTCATCACTGCATCTTGTTTTGTTTTATATTGTTCCCAGTGTTTTTATTTCAAGCGAACCCGTGCAATTATCAGTGGCGTTTCTATATGTACAAAAGTGGTGGGGCACAACAAACTTAGATGTCTATATATAAGCTTCTGCAGTGAGGTTCATGGCTGGTGAGGCACTGGCACTGACTCTTCAGGTTTACAAATATTATATTTTGACCTAAATCAAAATATAATATTATTTTCAAAAGCTTTTTTAGTCTGATGCTTCGATTAATTTTAAACCGACAGTTCAACAAAAGGATACCCCAAAAATGTAATTTTTTCATTTACATATTGAATTGTTCTCTCTTAGTAAGATCCCATTTTCAATAAAATGGTTGTCTTACCTTGACTTGAAGATGAAGTCCATTTGCCTATCCTTCTGGTCAAAAATCTCTATTACTTTTTTGTAAAAGTCCTCCTTATCTTCTTGTAGTTTCAAAAGTATATCTATCTAATCTAAAATTATAAAAGTAGGGTAGACATGTGGATATTATCCAGCTGAACAAAACCTGCATGTATCTAACAGGTACGTTTCCCACAGATCTTATTTTGAGCTATTTTCTAAAATCCTATAGAGAAATCTCATTGCTTTTTTGTGGAGGGAAGCCATGCGCAGCTTACTTCCTGGTTTTAGGACACGTCTCTCTCCTGCTCTTCACACACCACACTTTTCGCGGCACACGTACTTACAGCCAATCAGCTCTGAATTATGTGAGATGACGTATGGTGGGGATGGCAGCACTATGCCCCTATGGTCATTATTTTTTTGTAACACACATTAAATTGAAAAATACTCTGAGCATGCGCAGTGTAGTTTTTAAGGTCACCATTGACTTAGACAGTGAGAGGGGCATGATCGGGTTTTGTCCCACATGGCTCTAAACAGCTCAATAGGCACACACTGTAGACACTAATTAGAAGAACACAGACTAAAATAGGAATATGCAGACGAATCAGATGATTAAACATGATCTTAAAATATATTTTATATATTTATTGTTTGTAATCATTATTTGTAATACTTTCTGCTGACACTAGGGGCTGTACCTGCCCCTAATGACCAGTCGCCACTGGCAATTATTCTATTTTGAAATGACAGTGATACTAATGCTATCATTAGCATTAGTGTGGATAAGAGTTATGGCAACGTCAACCTTTATTGGTTAACTCAAACCAATACAGAACAGAACGAGAGAAAGGTAAACACATGAAGTACAGAGCAAAGACTAGGGTCAGAATAAAGGTTAAAGGTTAAAGGTGTTAACAACAAAGCAAAATAGACAAATGCAACAAGTTGTGATGGCTATGAACTTAAAGAGTAACAAATAAATGAACTATTTTAATTGGTGATAATGGAACTTTTATATTTACATAACAATATGGCAGAATAAGAATGTGTGAACATTAAGGCCGTACACACACCAAAGATAAATGTACTGTACAGGATCTTGGTTATGGTTTTCCATCAGTGAAATACAGCTCTTTACTGAAACCTAGTGGCAGCAGAATGAAACTGCAACTACCTCAGCAAACGCATGTTCCTCTAATATCCCAATGTGCTTTAAAAAAACACAACATTTATTTTGGAATGGATACAAAATAACACAAACAAGTAGTTGTTGATATTTCAGTGTAGACAAGAAAAAGAACATTGTAAAGGAACATATTATATAAGAAAGTTGATAAATGTACTTACAAACCAATGGAAATGGTTTGTTATCAGTAATAACTCCTTAGTAATATCTACATTTTCCAACAAAAAAGCCAGCAGTTAGGGATCAGATCTCTTGTTGCAGCATATACATTTTGTAATTGATTTTGTCAAAATTCACGTTACTAAATAAATATATACAATTGATTGCATTAAGTTGTGAAATCCTTTACATTTGAGCCATTCAGATTAATTAAAAACTCATCGCCTCATTCATGGAGAGGTCCACCCTGAGAAATGTATTTAAAATTCCACATTACCCTGTGTAAATAGACATATGTGATTGTAAAAAACAGAAGTATCATCCTTCAAAAGCAACGCCTGCTGTGTTTATCTGGATTTGTTGACCGTGCTGTACAATGCAGCTGGATCCTCTTCAGGGTCCTGACCTCTGGTCCTGAGAGATAAATGATGTATTTCTTAGTGCTAATAATAACGCAAAAGGAATTAAACGATATATGAATAATGTTCCTGTGTAAGGAGCTGCTCACCTCGGGCAGCACTGCTGAACTTGACGGCAGCGTACTCCGTGACTTCCTGTGGCTCCGTGTGTCCGAGTTGTTGAGCTGCTCTCCTATTGGAGTAAAGAGGATTCGCCCGGTTGTTGGAAAAGTGGACGGTGGCATACTAGACAATAAAAATAATAATACTTTTTATTTGGAGGTGCCTTTTAGGACACCCAAGGACACCTTTCAATGTATAAAACAAATTATCGAAGAAGAAAAACAGCAAATCCTGAACCAAACACAAACAGGGCAAACATAAAAAGAGATATTTTTGAGAACAAACACAAGGGGGACAGGGTCAGTAGCATTTCATCACAGCATACAGAATGGTTGGTGTGAAGTGGGGATGGTTAGATAATCAACTGAGGATGAGTGGAAGGAGCAGGAGGGGGTATACTCATGTGAAAGAGGCCAGTGAGTTGGTTGGTGGGGAGGTTGTGGAGGGCTTTGTAGGTGAGCAGAAGGTTGTATTAGTCAATTTTTGTATTGAAAAGGGAGCCAGTGTAGCTGCTTGAGAAGGGGAATGATGTGGTCAGAGGATTCTGTGTGGGTAATTATCCCAGTTCTGAATGATTTGGACAGTGGCGGCGCTAGGGGATGGCTACTTGGGCTCAAGCCCCGGATGTTTTCTGAAAAGCCCCGGATGTTTCACTTAAAAAAAAAAACAATTCTTTTTTTTGAAAATGTCTCTCGAGTAATGTGCAGTACCGGAGTCCACCAGAGAGGCAGCCGCTGCAGAACATTAGCCTGCGTACTGCGTAGCCTTCCCGGCCCCAATTTAGAGACAATGGACGTCCACTCTCGGGAGACGTCTGACAGTGGTGCGGTTACCCAAAGTGACAGACCTAATTTTACCTCTATTTAGAGGCAATGGACGTCCACTCTCGGGAGAGAGACCTCCAGCATGTGTCCCTGAAATGGGGACTCAGGTTATTTCACACATCCAGGACAGAGACTGGGGAAATCACCTTTCTGTGGCCCCTCCAAGACCCCCAAAGGACGGACTACAGACCTCCAGCATGTCTCCCTCACATGGGCACTCTGCTTATTTCACACCTCCAGGAGAGAGACCAGTAATGGCACCTCTATGTGGCCCGTCACAGAGCCCCAAAGGACGGACTAATGACCTCCAGCATGTCTCCCTCACATGCTCACTTCCATAACCTTGCACACCGTGAGTCCCCGGGCCCCCCGGACTTAAGCACTCCCCCACGGACTAAACCCAGATGATCACACCCTACAGAACCTCATGCCCCTGGTAACCCTAAAAGGGGGGTAGATTTTGCGGTGCTTTACCGTCCGCCCATCGGCATCCATATTCGGCCTTCTTCACAGCACCACCACCCCCCCTCCTGTTGAGGATGTTCTCATGCCCCTGGTAACACTTAAAGGTGGTGGATTTTGTGGTGCTTTTCTGTCAGCCCATCAGCATCCATATTCGGCCTTCTTCACGGCACCACCACCCCCCCCTTCTGTGGAGGATATTCTCATGCTCCTGGTAACCCTTTAAATAGTCTGATACTACCAGGGCTCATCACTGCACTTTACAAGCCAGAAATAATGTTTAAATGGTCGGGAAAAGTGTTTTTAAACGTCTGGAAGAGAGTTTTAGCCTGTCATTTTGCACGATATCATTTAACATTGAACCTCTCCTGGAAATGCACAGAATATGTGCATTTCCAGGAGAGGTTCAATGTTAAATGATATCGTGCACAGAATATGTGCATTTCCAGGAGAGGTTCAATGTTAAATGATATCGTGCAAAATGACAGGCTAAAACCCAGGAATAAGTGTTTGAAAGGCGGGGAAAAGTTATTTAAAATAGTCTGATACCTCCAGGGCGCATCACCGCATTTTACAAGCCAGGGAAGGTGTCTGAATCCTGGGTAAACATTGTTTAAATAGTCTGATACCTGGCACTGTATCTACCCCTGGGAACCTTCAAGGTTATATAAATGTTTTATTATTTATTTAACTATCACACGATTTTTACAAAAACAGTATACACAATAAACATAATATACATAATAAACATAATAAAAACATGATTAGCGGGGGCCCGGGGGCCATATTAGCCATCTAACTTGTACGGTGCACCGGGGAAAAAAGGTTGAGTCCACGGCCCCTACCCCCTCATCGGGAGTATCAACCGGCCCTGAAGAAGAGGTATCGCTGCTCTCCACCCCTGAGCCCTCTTCGGAGGTATCT